GTTTGTAGGTGTTTTTTGTATAATGGATATGGTATTGATGCGACAGAATTTCACCTTTGGAATCTTGTAGTTCTATTAGAACTTTAATTTGGAGTTGAATATTAAAGGGACTAGAAATTAGAGGATGTGGCGGTTTTTAATGGACAAAACTTAATGATCTGTTATTGGCTGGCTTCACTTCTTTTAAGAACATTTTAAATGAGGTTTATGTTAAAATAATTAAGATCAAATACAAAAAGCAGGCTATAATTCTAAATGACCTATTTATTATAAGTGCTTTGTCTTAATCTAAATACAAATAAAGTATATATATGTTAAACTGAAAGTACTATTCTACCCTTAATAAATAAAACTATATAAATATTATTTAACATCTCCCTTCAAACTCAAGAAGTGATAGCTATAAGCATCGAGAGTTTGCTAACCAGAAAATGAAAATGACAGATGGAATACGCCTTGGTAAAGAAATTTGCAAGGAAGAAAGAACAAAAGGCAAAGCAATGGTGTTATGCTTGAGATGATGACGAGTAAGATGACAATCGATCTTAATGTGTTTAGTTAGCTCATGAAAAACCGAGTTGTGAGCAATCTGAATAGAACTCTAGTTGTCACAATACATAGAAGTAGGATGAGAAAAGAAAATTCTTATATCAGTAAGTAACCAACATAATCAATAATCTTTTTGGAAATAGATGTCATGGCACGATATTCTACTTCGGTGGATAATTGAGAAATAATGGATTGTTTCTTGCTCTTCCAAGAAATAAGAGAATTATATAAAAAGATACAAAACCCGGTAATAGACTTGCGATCTGTGAAATCACTACCATGATTAGCATTAAAGTATGCACGCAATTCCAAAGAAGAGGTGGATGAAAGTAAAAGATTCTAAAAAACCGTACCTCAAAGATATCGTAAAATACGAAGAGTAGCTGCGTGGTGAATAGTAGTAAGAGAAGTAACAGACTGACTAACAACATGAACAATATATACAATATTTGGATGAGTAATAGTGAGATATACCAAACTCCCAATAATAGTACGATATAAAGTAGGATCTATCAAAAGTAAACCATCATAAGAAGAGTACCTTGCGTTAACCTTAATAGGAGTATCTACAGTTTTGCTATCAATAAGTTTAGCCTACTTAAGAATATCTGCAACATATTTTAACTAGGAAAGAAGGTAACCTCTAGGTGAGTATGCTACCTCAATACCTAGGAAATATCAAAGATAACCCAAATCCTTCATTTCAAATCATCTAGCTAACTTTGTCTTCAAAATTGAAATACCATCAATGTCATCACTAGTAATAATCATGTCATAAACATATAAAGAAAAAATGATACAACCTGCATTAATGCAATTAATAAAAAGAGCAGAATCATGTCTGCTAGAAATAAAGTTAAGAGATGAGATCACAATAGAGAATTTCTCAAACCAAGAATGAGGGGCTTATTTGAGACCATATAATGCTTTCTTAAGCTTACAAACATATCCAAAGTTATGTGAAATACTAGGAGGGGGTGCCATATAAACTTCTTCTTAAAGATATCAATTTAAGAAGATATTTTTAACATTAAGCTGAGAAATATGCCATTGATGAATCGAAGCTACGACAATAAGAGTATGAATAATAGTCATTTTTAGAACTGGGAAAAATATCTCTTCATAGTCTATACCATATTGTTGAGAGTATCCTTTTACAACTAGTCTAGCTTTGTATCACTAAATAGACCCATCAAAATTAGTTTTGATCTTATACACCCAACGACAACTAACAACACTCTTACTAGGAGGTAAAGGAATCAAATCTCAAGTATTTGTCTTATGCAAAGCAGAAAGTTTCTCATCCATAGCTTACTGCCAAAACGAATCAAGAATTGTCTCTTTATAGAAAGAGGGCTCAAAGAGACAATGAATAGAAACTAAAAAGAAAGTAAAATATGAAGAATAACAAAAATAAGCAAAATCTGGTAGTTTTGGGGACTTATGAATACTGATGGACTGACGTCGAGGTGGATCTATAATTTCAGATGAAGCTTGAGGGGCTGTAAATGAGAATAGAGCTTCAAGTGTGCCAAAGAGTAAAGTACTAATACTTGCAGAGTTATGAGTACAAATTAATTGAACATGGAGAGATGTATCATTACTAGAATCCTCAGAAAAGGGATTTATATGAATAAGATCAGATTTAGTCAGGCTAGGAGTAGTAGATGGAATAGAAAAGAAAGGTATATACTCAAGTAAGACAATATAACGAGACATATAAAGTTTCTGAGTTATTGAATTAAAATAATGATACCCTTTTTTACCATCACCAAAACTTAGAAAGACACAAATAACGGATCGAGAGGATAGCTTATTGCATTCTATATGAGGATGAAGAATGAAACAAGTACAACCAAATACTCTAAATAAGAAATAATTAGGGACATACCCTTATAACTTTTCAAAAGGAGATAAACCCGAACTATGAGAAGATGAAATCGTATTAATCAAACTTACAGTAGTAAGAATAGTTTCTCCCCAAAACTCATTTGGAACAAAAGTAGACAACAAGAAAGAATGAGTAGTTTCGATAATGTGCCTATATTTTCTTTTAGCAACGCCATTTTGCTTAGGAGTATCTATACATGAAGTTTGGTGAATGATTCCATTTAAGGCAAGCAATTGGAAAATTTTATTAAAGGTGTATTCCCCACCTAGATCACACCTAAAGCATTTGATCACAACAGAATATTGAGTTTTAATAAGAGCTCAAAAAGCTGCATATATCTCAAAGAATTTATAAAAATATTTCATTAAATAAACCTAACAATAACGAGTATGATCATCAATAAAAGAAACATAATATCAAGACTCTCTTTTTATGGCAATAGAAGAAGGTCCCCATACATCAAAATCAATCAAATTAAATGGCGAAAAAGAAACAGAGATACTTTGATTAAAAGATAAAGTGAAAAATTTTGCCAATTTACATCCACTACAATCAGAAAAGTCACAAGTTTTTAAATTACCTAAAGCTCCCGTGGATGCCAAAAATCTCAAACAAGAAGATGAAACATGACCTAGACGGGAATGCCATAAATAAAAACTAACTCAAATAAAAGAAAGACAAATTAATAGTAGTAGCAGCAGCGACATCGACAATAACTGATACTTTTAACTCATTTAAAATATATAGTCCATTCTCCCTATGACTTGTTCTAATCAGCTTCTGAGATTGTAGATCCTGTATATAACAAAAAGAACTAGAAAACATGACTAAATAATCACCAGAATCACACATTTGACCAATAAATGCAAGATTCAATTTAAGTTTTGGAATAAGATAAACATTAGGGAGAGACAAGTGAGGGATGACAAGATAACCAACACCTACTAAGGGTATATGAGTGCCATCAACAATCATAACAGAAATGAAAGACGAAGGGAACATAAAGGTAAAAGATGAGGAATCTGGAGACATATGATGGGAAGAACCAGAATCCATAACCCATTCAGATTGTAACATACCTAAGGAACTATGAGGCAATTGACCTATAGAAGAAGCGAACATTGCTTGTGTCTATAAAGAGAGAAACTTCTAAAATTGCTTAGCCAAAGTATTAAGATAAGTAATAGAGTTGGGGGAAGCTATTGCTACGGTATTGTGGTATGGTAATTTATAACCCTGAGATGATCTATGAGCATTAGATTGTGACTGACTGTTAGGCTTCCAAACTTAATTCTGATGTTTCAACTTAGGACATTTAGCCTTCCAATGATCTTTCTACTTATAGAAACTGCACTCATCGAAGCCAACCCTTGTGCAAGACTTGTTCTGATGATTAGAGAATGGTTTAGAAGGTACTGTTAGTATAGAAGGATTTGAAATAGAAAGAATTTTCTTTTCAGTATAAGACTGAAGACATATTTCTTTATCCAATAACTTACTGACAATAGAGACAACAGAAGGTAGTAGAGAACGATGTGGAATTAAACCTCTAAGTTCTTCGAAATCACTGCGAAGTGGTGTTAAAAATTGTACCAATCATTACTGTTCTCTACGCTCAATATAGGCACCACATGCCTTTAATTTTTGCTAATTCTATAAAAGCCAATTGATCCCAAAAATCTGTCATAGTAGAATAAAACTCTTAAATACTTATATTCTTTCGATAAAAAGCTTATATGTCATTTTCTAATTGATAATGTGGAATTAAACCTTTGTAGATGATCCCAAACCTCTTTTGCTGTCTCATACTTCAATTGCGTAAATATCGAATGCTCAATAGAATTGTTGATCCAAGTAATGATCTTTGCATTATTTGCTTCTCATGTATCTATCAAAATAGTATCTCACTCCTCAATATTCTTAGGTATCATATAAGTTCCACTAACATACCCCTACATCTTCTTACCCTTAAGAAAATTTCTCATTACATAACTCCAATATGAATAATTCTTTCCATCCAACTTTATATTCACAGACTAAAGTAAATCATCTCTTTCAGTAGCCATACGAAATAGTCACGGAGAACCAAAATGCAAAAACAACGAAAAACAAAAATATCAAATTGCAGAAACTAAATAAAGATTGCAGAAACTAAACAAATATCTTCTTGATGAAATATCAAAATAATTATAGAAATTAAATGCAAATACCAAATTGCAGAAACTGAAGGGAAGTTGAAATACCATAACATACACAAATAATTGAAATATCAAAATAATTGCAAAAACTAAATACAAATAAGTTGAATCTGCGAAGCTGTATTAGAGATTAAGTCTCGTTTGATAAAACCAGTTCTAATATCATACTAAAATAATTAAGATCAAACACAAAAAAAAAAACTAAAATTTTGAATAATCTGTTTATTATGAGCGTTTAGTCTTAATCTAAATACAAATAAAATACATATAAATTAACTAAAAATAACATTTTACTTTTAATAAATAAAATTATATAAATATTATTTACCAATCTAGAATCTAGTCTCTCTGTCTGTCTTTTCCTGTAACTATCACATGATGGGATTCTTTTCTCGTTGAAGTATCATTTTTCATTATCATCCTTTAAATTTTTTAGTCGTGATCAAGATGGTTTATCGTCTCATTCTGGTTGGACAGCACCCTCAGGATAAACCTGCAACGACAAAAAAAAACCTGTAAGCATCAAATTCTTGTATAGAAATTTGAAATGCATTTGTGCTCGTACAGGAAACGTGTGCTTCCCAGACGTAGCATAGCACCAATAGTCCTACTCTTGAACATGATGTACTTTTTCCTTCTCAGGAGTAAAGAAACCAGAATACCTGAGTATTTTTCTCTTCACTGAAGCTTACAGTTCTAACCTTCAACTCCCCTCTGCTGGTAGTCAGCTCGTCAAATATCTCAGCATCACACATCTCCACTTCCCCTTCCTCGTTTCCAAGAACATGTGCTTCTCTTTCCTGATAGAATGCCACAGAATTTAGTATCAACTCGACGAAAACTACAAAGTATCAGAAGACATCTTGATAGATCTGGAGAATAATATACCTTGAAAGAGAGGCTGAGAGACAGTCGTTGGGTTCCGGTGATCTCCTCATACTCAGCTGCATCTAGTTCCCGCAAATGATTTGGACAGAACAACTTAGGAAGGATGTGTTGTCTTATGCTGATGAGAACAAAGAACGGCAAAGGGAACAAGATTCCAGCTATCGGAATCCATGTCACACCATAACAGAATAGGAAATACACGAATTGGAAGATTGTAAATATGGCAATGTATTTGAATGGAACTGATTCCACAAAAGAAGCATGAACCCCCTCCAAGACCCTGCCAAAAAATGAATTTCAGGCACAGATGTAACTGGTAAATCATAGGCAGCTAATAACAATACATGTCAGAATGATGAAGTAGTATTTACCTGCAATCAGGAAGTTTCTAAAAACAATTAACATTTATAATGAATTTATTATCTTGAAGGAAGTACAGTTTTATTCTTTTACCCCAAAAATATAAGTTTTCCGAAATGCTGAGAAAAAATAGAACAATTTTGGTTCGATCTAGTTTTTTAGATTCCATAAAACAAGATTTGAGAAAACTGTTCTCTAATTCTAAAATGCTAGTTGAATTGTTAACTCAGAATGACAAAGAACTTACTTGTAGCGTCGGCCAGGTGTAACGAAGAGAAGTAGCATTCTTTCCCAGAACTGGTTCCCAGGGAGACTGTCGATTGCCATGTAAGCAAAATATCCCCAAAGGACTGATGTAGGTATCAACTTTATTGCAGGCACAGCACTCACTGATGCTGCCACAAGTAGTGACTGCAGAAAATTGCTTACTCTTTGCTCATTAACTCGGACAGGCAAGTAGGCATCAATGTGCTTCTCAGGATCAAATTTATCCTTTGGATTTTCTCCTTTCATGACTGCCTCCTTCAGGGCTTCCAGCTCTCTAACTACTGTAGTCTGCATATCAGAAAATCATGGTGTTGGCATTAATGTGCTGAGAGGATTTGGGAACTTTACCATCTTCCTGGAGACAAACTAATGTTCTTAGAATTTGTAAACATACAACTTGTACAAGTCATTTGTAAGAAAATGCTCATGTTTTTGGGTGTAGGAGGCATTACAATGTTATTTTCAACACGATGCTTAAGTTTGTACTGATCAAAGAACTTACAATTCGACTGCTGTCCATTTCAATGAACACATCCTGCATCATGCCATAGATTTCAGAGTTGCTAGCTTTCTGCTTGATGCTTTCTTTGGCACTTTCCACCATCTTCCTTCGAATCAACTGTAAATGATCAAGCAGATCGTATAAGCATCTAGAGGCTGCTCATCTAATTACCTTAAGAAGTTCTCCTTCGAGATTCTGTAATCTGACCTGTCTTTTGAGGACAGCAAGGCTCTTAGTATGCATAGGAGACTGTGGTAGAACACCATTAGAAGGAGGTAGCCCAAGTATTCCACAAAGCAAAGTCTGAAACCAATCAGTCGACAGTAGAATATTAAGTTTTCAAGAAACATAACGGAAAGAAAAGCCAGCTTTAACATATGTGGATGGTGTGTACCATAAAGCTCAGCAACAAGATGTCATAATGATACGCAGAAGGATTTTTAAGATTGAACTCCTTTTGTTGTGCCATCTGGGATGCAACACTGTGGTCAAAAAAGTAGAGCCCTGCTATCATCACAGCAGGAACAAAGGCAGCAAAGATATATGCTGGGGGGACATTCCCCATATCCTGTAATTTGATGCGACAATAGATATTAGCTGCAAGTGTCTAGAAGCAGACAAAACGGTCATGCACAAAACAAAGTAAATAAAACTTGGAAATTCAAATCAACTTTTGGTTACCTTGATGACAGTCCAGTGATGTAAGGATGCAGATTCCCATGGAAGAGGGCTAAAAAGTTTTCTGGGAACCCCAGAAGGAACTTTGCTTGGTATACTAAATGAAAGTGCTGTCCACACCACAACCATTAAAGGAACACCATAGTCTGCAATAAAACTTCTAAACCAACCTGGAACAACATCGTGCAACAATTTCAAATTCCTTGTGTTCACGTATTAATTTCTAACCAAAATGCAAAATTGTTAAAGATTGCTTCACAAACCTGTGCCATACCACCATGCTCTTGCCCTTCTACTTTTTAATGCAGTATAAAGAAGGCCAAAAGTGAATATGATACCCAGAAGTCCATTAGTGTAAAGCCACTGAAATTGATACCTATCTAGCTTCGGGTCTTCAGCTTTGGGAATTTCAAACTCGCTGACCATGCCCTGTGATCCAAACATTGTGCAACATATTTTAGTAGCATCACCCTCATCAAGTTGCTATTCACTCACTCAAACAATTTTTTTTTGTATTGATTGTACTCACCTTGATAGCCTCTTGCATGAACAAAACAGCAATCAACATGCCAAAAAGTTCGCCTGCTACTCGAGTAAACCGATTGATTATAGCACACGCATTGAATATTGCAAGAAGGAACAGCAAAAGAGCTGTCCAGACGCAAACCCTGCGGCGGTCACCAGAAAAATGAATGCATCAAAAAACCCAGATATGAGAAACAATTTTAAGCATTTAACAAAACAAATTTCCTATACCATCCAGCCCACGCCAAGAATAGTTTTTGCCCTAATTCTTCCCTTCCTTTGGCAAATTTGTACAGATAAGTGTACATTAAAACAGTGGGTTCTGCAACTCCTAATATTAATAGAGGTTGCCCACCAAGTATTGAGTGTATGATGCCACAAAGAGCAGTAGAAGCTAAAGTTTCCACTGTGCTCAAGCTTCCATCTACAAACAGAAAATTATAGAAATTACATTACTTTCGAACTCCTTAAATGCAATCATGGACCTTAGATTAAGATAGAAAATTGCAGCTAATAGTGCAAGGAGATTAAGTTAAGAAGAAATCAAATATATCCTTAGGATTTCATTTTATTGGTTTACCTTCTATGCACCATGCTGCAATATATTTGAAGGTGTATAAGAGTGGTAGTGGTTACTTTTCAAAATGTTTTTTATTTAAACATACATTAAATTTTTTTTTTTATTTTCTAAAAAATATTTTTGATATCAATATATCAAACTATATAAAATAAAATTTTTTATTTTCTAAAAAATATTTTTGATACCAGTATATCAAACTATATAAAATATTAAAAAAATTAAATTTAAGCTAAAAAAAAACACCAAACGGTGCCTCATTCCTGTATTCTATCAGAGGCAAAATAATGTTGTGCTTTTGAGGATTACCATTTACTTTCCTAGTCTTTCACTGTCTGAAGTTAAAAAAAGGGAAGCACTACAATTTCTACAAGTGAGAATATCCACCTTTTGCTGGGTTATACTTTTCTAAAGAAGAGTGATTAGGAGAACATGAGGAGGAGAGGAAGTAGCAACCTGTATCTCTTCTAAGTTGCTCGCCGAAGGCAATAACAGGAAGGGCTGAAGCGAAGAAGATATACGTAGTTGGTGCCAGTATACTGTCAGAAAAGTTAGAAAGAAAATTTAGATAAAATTTCAAAGACAGGATGGGAATATTATGCTACTCGAGTTGAGTAATAGGTACCCGAATCCAGAAAGAATGCCTGCAACCCAATCTTGTTTATAGCAGGCTGCTCTTCCTCTAACATCGTTTAGGATGCCTCTAAACGGAGTTCTAATGTGCTCCATCTCTGAATTAAAAGGTTTTATTAGTATCAGATAGGAAAAAAAAGATACTGAAGACGAATCAACTCAAAAAAGAGAAGGGAAAAAAAAAAAAAGTGGTGTGGGTGAACGAGGAAATCTTGACAACAAAAGAGAAGGAAAAAAAAAAAAAAAAACGGGGGTGTGGGTGAACGAGGAAATCTTGACCAAAAAGAAAGAAAGAAGATAATCTCTTGCACTTCCAAGCCCAGGTGATACCATTCAGGAGGATTGATCGACAAAAATCTTACTCCTTTTTCTTACAAAGAAGGAAATCAAGAAAAGAAAAGAAATATAGTTTTGTTGCTTTGTCCTCCATGTTATCAGCATCCAACCACAGATTTTGTTACCGAAACAACCAGACGTTCGCTTTTCATTTTTTCACAGACAGGGAACAGAAAAGGAAAAGGAAGCCAGGAAGCAGAAATTAAACAAGGTTACGTGAAAACCAGAACAATCAAGTCTTGAACATGCAGCCAAGAAGTGAACAAGAAACGCTCAGGTTAGCGCAGAAATGTGCGAGTTTGTATGAGTAAAATGGTAGTGCTGAAAGAGAGATTCAGAGAAAGAAATACCAGAGAGAATGCTTGCTGTCTTTTCCTTCCAAATAGGAAAGTTCAGCAGGAATTTCGATGGAGAACCAGAGACCAAATGTGCGTTTGTGTTGAATAACTTTTGTTCTCTGGTTGGCGGCTTCTTCTACAGGACTTTTCTGCAATCTCTTTTAGAGACTAGCCCTGTTTGTTTAACAACATACAACAAATAGCCAACATATATAGTTGAGTTCTAATACACATCCTCAACTACGTCCAACTATAACCACTAAAAATCGTTAAGGTCTAATACACAAAACTCCAATAATAATTGATGTAAAAAAAACAATATAAAAAAACAACAAGCAGAATCTAAAATAAAATTATACTTATACATCCACCACATATAAATTGTAATTTAAAATTTATTAGTGAATATTTTTCTTTAAGCAGCACGTCTCTCTAAAGGGTGTACATGTTCTTGAATAAAATAAATATCAACCTAGAAAAAACAAAATTATCAAGCATATTATTTAATTTTTTAAACTAAATAGAAAAATATAATTAAAAAAATTCCTTAAAAACCTTTTAGACCACATAATTGATATCCAATTAATCCTATACTCAAATCAAATCCAATCCCAATTATTTTATCCCTTTTTGGTGAAGGAAAAGAACTTGGATGATGAGTTTTTTGAGCTGGAGGTGGCGGCAATATGTACATTGATGGAGTTGTGGCAATCAATTACCAATGATATGATTGCAATTACCAATCAAGATGATTCTTCTAAATGAGAATCGGTTTTGAGATAGAAGAACAAGCTACATATACATGTTCAACCCCCCTTTTTTTTTTTTTTTTTTTATCAAGCATCAAAGTGAACTTTGGACTTATTATTGATCTTAAAATCTTGATTTTCAAGCAATAATTATTATTTCTCTCTCTCTCTTTCGAAATATATATAGTTCAGTTTATAGACTCAATGTATATGACTAAAAAATCATATGTTTTTTACAGTATTAATAAGAAATAAATATCTCTTATATATTATTAATGAGATAATAAATACGGCAGGTCTGTTAAGAGATATTATATATATTTATGAGTATAAAAAAATAATTGTATTAATATTAATGATTATTCTAGATGAAAAGACATGATAGTATATCATGCCTTCAATATTTTTATTTTAGAAAATCATCTACGATCAAGTATATGACCTTAAAACTTAATAATAATTGAATCCAAATGCTTAACATATTAGACCCATACTATCTTAAACTTAGCTGACTCTCAAGTCTAATTTAGAGTGAGTTTGGTATATTTATCAGACTCACGCTACTTTGAATTTGACTAACTATCAAGTTCAAATCCTTTAAAATTTGACACGATTGCTAACACAATTTACTTTTTAAGAGTATTTCTATTTATAAAAATCTTACAAAACAAATGTTGACTCATCATTCAACATATCCTTTAGGTAACCAGGTAGGTTGCTTACAGTGACGGTGTTAAAAATTTTTAAATGAAGGGGCAAATTACTAACAATATTATATTATATAGATATGCATTAGAAATCAGTTCAAAACATATATACTAATTCATATTAAGTAAAATTAATATGAACCTGTAGGATTTTTTTTATCATCATTAGTATCTACATAATAACTAATACAACTACATAATAACTTACTATTAAATAAAAGTCAGTTGAGTTATCTAATAATTCTAAATTTTTTATGTGGAATTCATAGTAAAATACATATTTATTCATCAAAATCAAAACTTATTTCAATTTATATCTATAAGCATATAATAAGTATGCTGATTAAATTATACTTAATTATTTGTAGACATTTAATTGGGAATAATGCTTGAAAAACATGTTTTATACTTAATATTTTACTTATTAAAAAATTATGTGAAAATATTAAATTTTAATAAATTACTTTATCAATGCAAGAGACGTCAAGAATAATGGTTTTGTATAAATATTAATTTATTTTTTATAATAAAAAAAGAAATATTTAATTGATTAAATTAGCAGATTTAAACATTTATTTTAAACATATTCATATCAAAACCCCTA